GAATGAGAGAGGGCTGGGGCTGAGGGGAGATGAGGAGCAGGTGTTGGCGCAACTCCTGCATTTGCAACCTCAGGCTCTCCACAGTCCTCGCTGACACCCCCGTGTTATCCCTTGGAAGGCAAGGGCACGGTTTGGAGGGGCTGGCAGGTCCCTCCACAAGCAGCGGCGTTGCTGGAAGCCATCCCTGGGAGGTGGGTGCTCAGCCTGGCGCTGGGAACGCGTCCTCGTGGTGGGACCCTCGATGGGTCTGGTGGAAGTGCAGCTCCTGTTCGGAGCCCACACCCATCAGACCTGGCTCTCACAGGGCTGGAAGCACCGGAGGGGACAGAGCACGCAGCGGAACAGGTGGTTTAGCCCAAACCTTCTTTAACAAATGTAAGAGCTATGCCAGAGCTTCCCTAATGTCCTGTATCAGGATCTCTCACCTTCCCCGTCCTCTTGTGGTCTGCAGAAAACCTGAGCGGTGGAAACTGTTTGAGGGAAAGGGAAGGGGTTTTTCGCTTCAAAAGACCGACCTCTCGATTTGTCCTTCCTTCGCTTTCACTCTTAAGTGCTCCCTCTGTGCAAGTGGGCAGAGGATTCGTGTGGCTCCGACACTTGCAAGAAGAGGGATGGAGCTGCAGCCTGTTCCACTTTCCATTAAAAATAATGTCCCGACGCTTTCTAGGCATATTAGGAATCACAGCTTGACACTCAATGACACTAAATTATTATTGGGGTCCTTTGTAAGTTCTAATCATACCCTATTCTAGGTTAAAATATTTATTTTGTCAATATATTTTCTTTCCAGCGTGTTTTTTAACGTCTTCTGTTAATCCTTCATGTGCTGAGATGTAAGAAATGAATGGTTTCTATTTAAACGTATCCTTTCAGGTTTTTTAATTGTTACGCGTAGATTCCAGCTGCATCTTTGGCAGGTGTAATAGATACCAACGTGCTGTACAGACGTTTAGGGTGTTTAGTATGTAGGTAAGGCTCACAAGGAGGATTGCTCATAAAAACGTAGCACGGTGTCTCTTAAAGGGAACAGCATAAATGCAGAGACTGGTCCTTACCGGGACCCTCACGTAGCCTCCAACATACCTTTCCCCTTCCGGATATCACAGCCTCCATCTCTGAGAAGTGCTGATAAATCCACTCTGCCATTTCCAGGGCTCTTTTTACACCTCCAAGCTGAAGGATTTTAGTGTGTGTGGGGGGGGTGTTTGGCGCTTTTTTTTTGTTGTTGTTGTTTTTGTAAATGGGATCCTGTTTCCGCTTTTAAATGGAGGACTAGGCAGAGCTGGCCGTGGTGGCGAGACGTTTCCCTCCAGTGGTGGAAGAACAAATCCGGGCGGTGGTTTCCCACCCCGGGCGGTGGGTGATGGACCCCCCCCGGGCGGGGGGTGATGGCCCTTGCCATGAGCTGCCGCAGGAGCTGGACCAACGCTCCCCCGGGCAGCCCGGCCGACGCAGCCCTGTTGCTCTCCATTCAATGCTCTCCTCCTTTCACTCAGGAGAACAGGACATGCAGACCAAGGGAGTAGCACTTTCCACACTTTTTTCATCCGGTGAGGTGTCAAAGCCTCTTGCAGCTGCGGAGCGGGAACTGCTCTGTGCTATCTCCATCCCCAGACCAGCCTCACCCAACCCAGTCGTTGTTTACCTCCTAAATGCCAACCGCAAGGCTTGCGGAGCCTACCCTGGAAAAAAACAGCTCAGGACAGATATTTTTATGGAAATAATGAAGCAAGCAACCGGTGAGTGGATTTATAGCCCGCCTTGGAGGTAACCCTTCAGCTGCTGGAGGCACCCACGTGCCCACCGGCAGAGGAGAGGAGGCAGGAATTCCCTCGCCAGGCGCCCGGAGGCGTTGCTGGTGCCCACGCAGCCCCTTCCACTCACCCCTCCCAAACTGCAGCCTCTGGAGTGGGCTACTCCTGCCCGCTTCATCCCCGGGCTGCCAGCCCCGAGCCACCCCTCACCCGGCTCCAGGTTGCTTCTCCATCCCGGAGCAAGGAGAAGTTGCATTTCCCCGAGAGCCGGCTGGCTTGTGAGCGGCGCCGAGCTCCGGCGCTGGTTCTCTTTAGCCCCCGGCAAACCTACACCCAACTTCCCACCCTGCTCTCATGTTTTTATGAGTACGAGCTCCTCATTCTGTACATGTTATTATGAGCTGTCGTTAACCCTACAAATGTAACCTGTGTAATAGCTTCTCTGTATATTACAGCTGTAGGCTTTCCAGATAAAAGTGGATAATATTTATTTACTGAAGATACTGGATATTTTTTTGTTTGGGACTGGGGCAGGGGGAAAAGGGGGACGTAACCGTTGAAAGAGGTTGACTATGTAAAGAGAAACAAAACACACAAAAAGCAAAGAAACCCAACACTAAAACATTGCTGTATCCACATAGAAATTGTTTACGTTAAGGACCATACAACTGTATTAATCTACCATTGTTTAACTTGTTCCAGAAATCATCTCTACTTCGGTTCCTGCATGTGAGATACTCCAATAAATACACTACTAGTGCGACCTGGAGGAGAGTATCCGTCTGTCTCTCAGGTGGTGTCTCGCTCCGCTTCGCTGCCTGGCCCCACGCG